TCATGCCTTTTCTTTACTGAACAAACCAAAATTTTTTTGTTATTGGTTATTAGGAATATTCGAAATTTTTAGCACAATTTTAATTATATAATTTTTTATTTGCCAACATTGAGAAATTAATTATTTTGATGGAACTAACGGATAGAAATGCGTTTCCTTTGCTTTGACGCGTTTGAAAAATATAAATCGTCAAAGCAATATCAATTACTAAATAAATTTTTCATGGTGCACTCTACGAAATCCTTTTGCGTCCGGTTGTTGCTGTTTTTTTTTACCCTTTTTTCTTATTAAGCAATGCTCTCGATTGATTTGGCATTTGCCCGCAGGGAAGATAATCCAGTGGGTGTCGTCTGGAACAACTTCATTCACTCGATATCGGTCGGGCCGCCGTCACTCAATTTCCCGATCCCGAGCAGTTTTTCCAATAAAAAGACCTCCGTGCTCGGTCGGAGCGGCCGTTCGAGGGACCGTATGTCGCCAAAAGCCAGCTTTGACCGCACTCGTCTCCCGTTCGAACGAAACCCTTTGCCTCTCTCTTCGGAAAAATAACGCACGCATAACGCAATCATCGTGGCACGCGCCCTTTGTGCTATCGCGGGCGCGCAATCAAAGTCACGTCGCGCTGTCATGAGTAATCCCTTTCAGTGCGGCAATTGCGTCGCTCCGTCGGCCGGAATACAAATAATATTTTTTAGACGTGACGCTCCGTGGCGAGCTGCTCATGAATGAATGAAGGCGGCGGAAAATAAGAGAGAAAGAGAGCGCGCCCGAGAGTAATAAAGGCGGAAATGTAATCAAACTGGGTAATGTTGCATAGAAGCAGCGGCCCGGCCCTCTTTGCCATTCCGGTCACCACGGCTCGTTCATTTTCCTTGTGGCCTCACGCACAAATTTACTTTTGCCGGCAAATGAGAGAAAAAGTAGCCAAGGGCGGCGCAGCCAAATGTCGAAATTTCCAAGTGGGCGGGCAGAAATCGCGTCGGAAAATTAGCAAATTTGTTTCGTAAAGTTCCTTTTGCTGGCTGTTAATAATTCCTATTTTGGAAGGTTAGGAAGTTAGTAAGTTAATGAAACTCTGGCTTAATTTTAGACATCGACATCAGCAAAAGAAAGAAGTGATGTATTTTATAATTATATATATATATTAGTAGAGCAGAAACCACTTTAGATTTTTATATTTTTTTAAAGAAATTAAATATAATTAAAATTTAAATGACATTATGCACATAATCATAAATTCTTGTGTTTAATGTAGGTACATAAAAATAAATTAATAAAATTTAATATTTTACTAAAATCATCTGATACTTTAGTTGTATTTAAATTACTAAGTACTAAATTTAATATTTTCACACTTAAAACATTTCAAACTACTTTAGTAACTACAAATGATACAGCATAATTGTTTTGTTCAGTATAAAATATTTATGGAAAGTCAGTCTAACAATAAGCTGCTTTTTTTGTCTTTCTGATCATTTAAACCAATTAAACCGCACAAATTGTAAACTTTCTATCCCTGTAAAACAATAAGAAAGTGTTTTCTTGAAAACAATTTTTGCCAAAAATTGGTAAGAGTTTAATCATTTTCTTATCCCAGTCGTCCCAATCAGAGATCCATCATTTCTGTCTTTTGGCTAAATTCTAGCTGACGGATGATTTGGGATCAATTAGAAACCTACGGAGATTATGAATTATGATCAACTAAGAACTTTATTTTTCTGGGTTTTATATTTCAGATGAAATTACCCTTTTAGAACTGACACATAAAACTGCTCTTAAAACATTTAGGGGTGTAAAGGAAAGGACCCTCTGAATTGAGTAGGTTATCGAATTTTGAGGGTGGTCGAGAGTCGCGCCGAGTAATGAACTTGGCCGCCGATAAAGTTCGTCTGATGTGGTTCGAGCGGGGGAATGGAGTGAGCAGTGAACTCGCTCTCTCGATGCGTGTTGTGTACAAGGGAATAAGTAGTGTGTAGTATGTACTGTTCTAGCAGCCACTCTCTCTCTCTCCCATACTATTTTAAGTGCCGGTGCACACACACAGCTCCCATAAATAACAGGGCGAACACAAGGATGGATGTATTGATCTCTCGCCCGCCCGCCCATCCGCCCTCTCTACTCTATCTCTCATATTATAAGATATTACACCCGCGTACCGCCACCGACTACAACATGCCAAAGGGAAGGAAAAGGGTTAGGTCGGAGATATTATATGCCGCAGCGGCGGCTGTTTGGACACGCCGTGTCCGTACGTCGATCCTCGGAGAAACACACGACGCGGCTGGACAAGATATTGCTGCTGGCAAAATAGCACCCGAGGAATATATCAAAAAATATATTTTTTATGAATATAGAGGACGAGAGAGCGTGGAAAAATGAGAGGGATGAAGAAACCTCTGGTCTAGGTGCAAAACAACGCTTACTCGCTGGAGGAAAAAAGTTGCTTTTAAAGAGGAAGAAATTTTTGTTCTGCGAAGAAAATAAAGGGCGCTTGAAAGCGTAAAACATTTTTTTTTTTTAAATTCTAATTCCGGGTTTGATTATAAGTATTAAAAAAAATTTCTGTGACAATAGGAAAATATAATTTTGTTTATGATTGCATCATTTTTTAAATCTTCAACCATGTTTGTTGTCCAAAACCACAGAGTTTGAAATGTTAAATATTGTTTATAGTGGAACACTAATTGTAAGCAGTGTTAATAGAACATAAACTTAAAAAAAAAAATAAAATAAAAATAACAGCAATAATAATAATCAAACTCGAGTAATTTTTCAGATTATAATTTTTTTTTTAAATTATTAAAAAAAGATTTATAGCATTAATATTCATTGTACTACAATAATTTGTTTTACATATTTTAATTTAAATTTTTTCACACCTTATTTTGCATCCAACAATTCTTTTTTTTACTTAATTATTGAATATACGTGGAGTTGAAACTGCATCAATTTGTGAATATCAGAAGAAATTTGACTATTAATTGCTTTTTCTTGGTTGTAATGATATGTGTCTCTTTGATGTGAATTTGATGATCAGTTTTCTCTGAAATATCATCATAATATAAATAATAGAATAGGAAGTACTCTTATTATTCACTATCGCCTGTTTTATATTCAGTCTCGGTTTGTATTTGTTAATAATTTCCAAAACGTCCATAATAAATCGTAGTGTTTGGCCCGGGAATTTGTTGTTGTTTCCGTATTTTATCAAAACAATGCCTAATTTATGGTTGTCGAATTACATGCCCTAGTTTATGACCTTTCCGCACATGCATGTATCCTTTTTGGCGGCGGCCAAAATGAAAAATTGCGCCATGCCCGACCCTAATCTTACATCCGCTCTCTCTGTGCGCCGCCAACACGGCGATTTATAATAATTTCCTCCCTCCGAAGAAAAAACGCGCGCGCCCCTATAGCTTTTTCCAACCAAGAACAAAACCACCGTTCGGGTGTTGAGCGCGTGGGTGCTGAGCAAAATAAAAGAAAGAAAAAAACGCTGGCCTGACCAAATATGAGATTTGTTGTGATATTTTACTGGCTGATTTTACGACTGACTTTATAGCCCGCCGTCGTTCGTCGTTCGGGCGAACAAGACGCTCTTCTCTCTCACGTTATACGACCCTGAGTGAGTTTCGCCTCTCTTGATGCAAAACGACAAACTAACATTGTAGATGACGACGTTTTGCACGCGGATAATTACTTTAAAACTTTTGGCCCGGCCCGAAGTTTTCGCGCAAATAAAATTCCTCGGGTGACAGCGAAGGTCTTAATTCTCTCTTTGCGTCCGAAAAGCAGAAGAAAAGGGTTGTAAATCAGAGGGAGAGCAAAGTGGCGGAGAGTTTCCCGGCCAATTGTCTTTTCTTCTCCCCGGAATCAATTATCTAAAGTAACTTAGCACGCGCACAAAGAACTTGCGAGAGACAATAATCAGAAAAGGTGCATGGATAATTAATCGGCGTGCAAAGTTGGCTCGCGCGTTCGGCGCCCGTTTTCCGTTCAAAGCGCGCCAGACAATGCCCGCGCTATGCAAATTTGCACAAAGCAGGTAAGGTTCGTTCGAACACGCGACTCTCAAGACAATGGCCCTAAGTTCGTTAAGTCAGAAGTTGCAGCGGCAATTGCTCTCTCGCTGCCGGCCATCTATATATATTATTCGGCCTCTCGGCTGAAAATCTGCCAAAAATAACCTCCCCTGCTTTTCCGCACCAACCTTGTTTATTTAATTAAGGGGCCACGCGCGCCATCAGGAGTTTGCTAATTACTTTGCTTGTTTGCTTTTCACACCTGCAGGCGTCAGATTGGATATCAACACGGTAAGGAGATCCGAATCGCTGAAGGCCCCGGCGGACTTTCAACTTGATACTCTTGAAAGTTGCACCTGTAATAATTAATAATGAAACCATTGATAAAATTTTTGTTAATATTATTTTTCAAATATATGACCAAGGAACTTTGCTTGCGTCAGAGGAGGCCAAGCAGAATATTATAAAAATACTTCGATGGAAGCTGAAAATATTAGTAAATTCATATTTTCACTAGGAAATTATTTACAATTTTCATCAGATTTTCATTTCTCAAATATTTAAAAAAAAACGCAACCTCCGTAGTTTTACTAAACTTTTTATTGTTGTTGTGTGTTGTTGTTAGGTGCTCATTAACACTTGTGGCTTTGATGGGTGCCATACCATAAGAATTGTGTATGTTGTGGAGAATTGGTAGTAAAAATTTTGTTACTAAAAATTTTTAAATTAAAAAATTTGGAACGATATCTTTATAGAGTTCATGCAGTGCAGAATAAATTTGTTAATTTTGAAATGAGAGCAAGCGTGGCCCCCACGAAGGAGCGTAAAACCTATTTTACTCGCTATAGCCCCCACGTGCTTGGGGAGTTTTACCCTTTCGCGCCATTTACGTCAAAAAGAAGCTCCGCCCTCTATACAGGTGGGCCAGGGTGGAGGGAGGAATGAAATGAAGATCGTCAGCTGTATTTATGTTTTGAGTTGAACAGGTTGAACTTGAAATGTTTGCGCAGTTGTGCCGTCTTTGCGAGCGGCCAGCGGCCGAAGGCGGCTATCGAGGGGCCGAAATAGATTTCGAGGCGCTGGCCGAGTGGTGTTTGAATTATTTGGGCACAACTTTGGCCCAAGAGGTCAAGGACGACGACCTTTTCTGCCACTTCTGCGTGTGGGACGCTAGGTATACTTTTTTATTATTATTCTGCGCATAAAATAATAAAAATACTCATCTCATTATTATTGAAGATTTCTAATCGCGATGGAGGCAAAGGAATCGAATGCTGACACTGAATTGAATTATCTTTGCTGGTGGCCTGTGGAAAGTACAGAAAGTTCTCTTCATGGACCATTATTCAAAGGCTACGAAGGTATTTTTTTTTCCTTTGAAAGTGACAAATAAAATTTTTAAATTAAAATTTATCAATTCAGGTGGAAAATTGAAGCAGTGCTGGGTTACCTTGAATAAAGTGAAACTAAAATTATCCGAATCAAAACAGTCGGAACAGGCGGAGAATTTGATTGATGAGGTAGGTGAAGAAAATTTGGAAGAAAAGTGTAGATATTGTGAAGAATTCTTCCCTCAAGATCAGCCTCGACTGTTAACTACACATGTAAACTTAAAACACAGAAATATTGCAATCAGGTGCAATTTTGATAGGTTTTGCACAAAATATTTTGATACAAAGGCTGAGCGGGATGTTCACGTCAAAACTTATCACAAAAAGCCACCAGTGCCCAAGAAACGCGACTGCATCTTTTGCCCAATTGGTGGCTTGACGAAAGGAGAATTGTCTGCACACGTAAAACTAGAGCACATTGAAGTTGCTATTCCGTGCAAAAGCAAATTGTGCAGTGAATATTTTAGAAATCGCACAGAATTAATTAATCACGTTGAATTGTACCATCCAAGGTTAGAGATGATTAAACATCACAAGTGCTCATTTTGTGATTTCAAAACAACTGTGAAAGTTCACCTTGCCAACCACGAGGCTGTACAGCACAAGAAAATACAGTTGACCAAGTGTCAAATATGTTCGACTAATTTTATTAGCAAATTGAAGTATTTAAGTCACTTTAAGACGCAACACCGACTCAGTGTTTGCCAATTTTGTGGTTCTAAGATGCGTTCTGGCAACCATTTACTCGAACATGCATGTAGAAGATGCAATGCCAAATTTGAATGTTTCGGTTTGCTGGAAAAGCACGGAAGTGTTTGTGAAATGAAACTATTCAAATGTGACCTGTGCCCGAAAGTTTGTAAAGAGAAATGGGCCATCAAGGCGCACATTGTTAGCCATTTAAATAAGCAAGTAAAGGAATTGAAAGTCAAGCCGACGGAGCATCAATGTAAAATTTGCAATCGTTATTATTCAGGGGCTTATCAGTTGTGGCAACACGTCCAGAGGAGTCATCCAGCTTTAAGATGCACTTTTAGTTGTGCGCACTGTGAAAAGGAATTTTTGACCAAGGTGAGCTTGAAAAGTCATCTGGCACTTTTTCATAAACTGATTGCAAGGAGACACAGATGTCGTAAATGTTCGATGAAATTTTTTACTCGCTCTGATAAAAATCAGCACATTGAATTGAAGCACAATTGGGAAGATGTTGAATGCACTCATTGCAAAAAGGTGATTAGAAAGAAAAACTTGCGAGCGCATTTGGCATATGCTCACAATCTGATTGAATGAAAATAGTTGAAAATGGTAATTGTTGAAGAAAATAGTGGTCTAAATAATTCCAAAATGTAAAATGCTCCCTATAAATAAACAAAATATAATATCATAAATTTATATATATGTGAACACAATAATTTCTTCAATACTACTTTTTTGTGCATTACAAATTTAATTTTCTCTGTCAAAGGGTAGACTGCAGTTTAAAACAACAAGAGCAAATATATTCAACAGTTTATACAGCAAAACTACAATTAATTTCATTAATATAAAATATAATAAATACGAAAATACTGTGTGTGTGTGTTTGAGAAGTTTAAGAAATCAATAAAGAAACTAAATATTGTTGCCTCTATGTTGATATAGATATTAACTTTTTAATATTTGATTTTAAATTTTTTTATAATATTAGTTTTATTTAATATTAAGAAAAAGCATTTTTAATTTATTTGTTAAATGAATTGGGTTAAAAAATATAAATACTGAAAAGTAAATATTAACATTTTAAATTATATTTGTGTCCTCATCATTCATGAGATTAATTGAACTTATTGCTAAAATAAACTTGGTACTCTTTTTATCTTGCATTGCCAATGATTATATTCTATAATGCGTAAATTGAATTTTCCATCCTCCACAAATAAACCTTTTCCGTTGTGGCGCTTGAAGTGCTAAGCTGAAGTTTAGGACGTTTCTCGACCCCTTTCATCATCCTATACGACAGGTAGATTTCAAAGTTTTGAAACGTTCCTCCCACATGCATACGTGCTTTGTGCAAACAAAAGGCGCATCAGTTTCTTCCACCCGCTTCACAACAACACACGCTTAATTCGCAATCCGTTCATTCGTTCAGCTCTGAAACCGCAGCCGCTCTCTCGGGGGAGTGAATAAGCGGCAGAGGCGCAGATGCTTCCGTCACAAAATTTGACGTTTTTCAAACGGAGCCTTTGTATGCATAAATACCCAGCAACAAAACCGACTGGAAATGAAGCAAAGACGCTGGCTGGCCTGGGACTAAACAACTAGGCCAGGGCCTATCGGACGCACACACGACTGACCAGAGCGAAAACTTAATTCAGATAGAATAGAGGGTGTGTAAGCGGATTATTTACATGTGGACGGACGGCTCGCTTTTGGCCCGAATTAAGAGTTTAAGGTTAGGAGCTGCTAATCTGCAGTTTGCGGTCGACGCTCCGCAGACCTTATAAATAACTCAGCGCGCCGGCCACAATCGCCGCCTTACCTGACCTTATACTTGCTGCTGGAAGAAAACTATAGCGCGTGCCTCTAATCCGCCAACTTTCGATGAGTTTTCTTGCGAGTAATAAGTCTAAAAGGAACATCAAGCACTTGCGAGAAATAAGTGAAATGTTCTAACTTGATGAAGGTCATAGAACTTGAAAGGGTTTCTTTGACTTCAAAGTTAGAGTTAACTGAATTTACAAATCAAAGTGCTACCTAAACTTTGTGCATTTAATTTTATAATATATCAAACAAAATTTTTTTTCAGCAAATAATTTAAAATCGATGATTTCTTAAAATTCTCTACTGTTATTGAGAAAATGACAGAAGAATAACAAAAGATAATTAAAAAGGTACTGGATTTAAAAACAATTAAGTTTTTTTAATAAGGAAAACACACAAATACATCTACATGTATCAGGTAACTCTTTAAACAGCAAATCAGTTTATTTTAAAATAAATTTTGTATCATTCTCACGGATTTGTAGTTGTCTAGTTTTAGCTCATTTTGTATTTTTGCTAAATTTAAAAAAAATAAATATTTAAAAAACTTTACCGACTTCAATTTTAACGTTTTAATTTTAACAAATATTTTTTCAATATCTTGTCTTTTTTTTATTACTTTCATTTTTAAAAGAGACAACTTTAAGAGATTTTTGCTATAAAAATTAAACTTCAAACTTCTTGGCACCACAAACTAATACTGGGAAAAGCCCAAACGGCAAATCCGATCAAAAAATCTTGGGCGCTGCTCTAACACCACCACCGTACGAAATCACACACCACAAACTTCAGCAGCTTGTCCGTCGGCCGAAAGGATCACTGTAAAAAGTTTCGTGCATGGGAATGAAGCAAAGTTTGTGGCAGCGGCGCGTTTTCCCTTTTCTCCCGGCACTCGCAAAAGTTGAGTGACAATAAGTTTTAGGGACGAGCGGCCGCTCTGAGAGCAGGCAACCCTTTTCTGCGGCGATCACGGCAGATAAACAAGAGCAAAAAGCAGCACCGGTCTGGCTTTCTTACTTATTGTCGGCACCACACACATGCAAAAGAGAAAGAGAGAGATGGCCGTCGGTTGTGTGTGTGGCGAAGATGACCAGGGATTGCGACCCTTTTAGAGCTGGCGACGTTTAAAAGGACCATCCGACGCCTTCTCGCTTGACTGGCCCTTTTTCCTGCACGAATTTCATCTGCCAGTCAGTCAATTCAGCAAACGAGATTTTACCTCCACACGGCCTGAATCCAGAGCCAAATTCTATAAAAATCTTTTCCGCTCTCAACTCGGAGTTTATTCAATTTCGCTGCGAAACAATATTTTCATCTCTTTTGCGAATAAACTCCAATAAAAGAGGAATTCTTTCTTTTCCAATTTTACCATTTATATATATTTTTTACTCCAGATATTATTTTCTGCTCTTCCCCCTCGTGCATATAAAAAGTTATTATTGGCGATATTCAGAAGAAATTTTTAAGCTCCGCCAGCCGGTGGAGAGAGAAGGGAAATAATTTCGCCTTTGCAAAGTTGACTGGGCGCGTTAATAAGCTACAGGATGTTCGCACGCCGGCGGAGAGCGCCCTTTTAGCGTTAACTAAGTTAAATTACGGCGCCAATATGAAAGGGCGCCTCATCTCCTCTCGCAATTTCTCTTTTTCTTTATTTCTTTTTCGATCCTCTCCGCGTCTTTTTCGTGATGATTGGCGAAAAAGAATCCGGGGGCGGAATGCGAAAGCGTCGAGTGCAGGCGATTATTGCTCGTTCCGCCGAATTGCAGGCACAACGCGCGCGCTTTATTGTGACAATAACTCGGCAAACACGCGGCCGTTTCTATGCTTTTAACAAGCCGGCCGACGCAGCGGGCTGAAGTGTGGCGCGGAATGATTATTGCTGGGTCGTTAGACCATTGCGGCAATTCGCGAATGAGCTCCGTCCGACAGCAGAGGCGCGAAAGAGCTTAGAAAATATTTAAAGTTACATTCATGCGTTTCAATTTGAAAGTATTTAATATTATAATCCATTTTATGCTTAAATTATAAAAATAAATTGGCATTATTTCTCACCTGTGATTAATTATTAAGTATACTTTCAAGAGATTCTGTAGATTTTTCAATTTACAAGATGCAGTAATAATAGCGTCAATACCACAGTCAGAAATTATTACCCCTTTGCAAATTTTGAAAAGTAAATATATTTAGTCTATTTTAGAATTCACATTTCCCCATTATTTTTATAATCAATTTTTTTTAAATAGAATCCTTATTTTCAACAGGAACAACATCTTGAATGAAAAATTCAGTCATTATGCGAGCGCCCCTTTATGCGTCAGAATCCCTCCCTCAAAGAAGCCAATTTAATAAAAATATATTGTATTATTTTTATCCATGTTTATATTATTTTATTTTATTATCGATTGTATGAATTAATTTATTTTATTGGAAAATTATACACAAACGCTTTTTTGGGGCCCTTTTGTTGTTAACATTATTGGAAAACCTAAATTAGCTTCCGGCGAGTTATCTTTGTCCAAAATAATTGTCCTCGAGATCGTCTCCCGTGTTTCCGATAACAAATTGGCGCGCACCCCTAAGTGGGTGCTGCTGAGCAGACAAGATTTTCTCCAGTGGTGTGCAATAACTCTGGTGGTGCCGCCGACACACTCGTCGCTAATCCCGGCCGTAATCCCGGTCTCTGCTCTCTCCGTTGTTTATTCTGCCGATGAGCGGTAATGGAGACACTGCACGGAGACAAGTCGCCCTTGCATCCGCAGCAAGATTTACCTCGGATAACAAGTTGCACCACCTCGGTGTCGAAGACGACGATGCAGCTGCCGCGACCCAAGCGTACTTTGCAAATATAAATGCTGATTAAGATGTTGCTCCCTGTCGTCGTCCCGATTATTTGCCCTTAAGCCCCTTAAGTGACTCTGCGCGCGCGTTGTTTGACGGGGGGGATGTTTGGCTAAGCAGGTGGCTCTCCACAAGCACGAAATTGGATTCTAATTTACCCGGGCAGGCAAACCGCTCTCAATTATTCATTCCATCCCAGACCGCGCGACAAGAAAGCGAGCGAGTGCCTGTTGAAATGTGAGACTCTAAGAGCCAAAGACAAATTACTAAATGCGTGCTTCATTAAATAATTAGCATCACTCTTCCTTCAAAGTTCGATTAACTTTTTGGTCCTTTCTTCAAAATTAATTTTTTTTTTAATTATTATTAAAATTAAGCCAAAGATAATATCTAATGAATTCAATTTTTGGTAAAAATGAAATTATTTTCCCGAAACATTAGAGTACTTGAAATCTAATATAAGAAAAAGCAATTGAAAACTTATGTGAAGTTGTTCAGCTTTTTCATTTCATAATCACTAAATATTTTTACAACCCCATTTTTTTCCATTTTACAAATTAATGAGCTTTTTTGAGCTTTTTGTTTGTTTAAACTCCTAAAAAGGATGTAAACTTTTTGTTTATATTAGGTTTCCTGGCATTTCCTACTCTTTGCGAATAAACTTTCTAAATTTTCGGTAGCAAAAAGCGGTTTAGAATTTGTGCAAAGCCCATTAATTTACCCCACTCTGCGCCGCTTTTGATTTATTTCCAGCCGCATTTCGGCACTGCATGCGCTTGCTCGCGTGTGTGTTTGTTTAATGTGGTTTAATTGACGCCGTGCGTTGTCGCGCGGCGGGAGTAAAGTTGAACTAATAAGCCGATTAAACCCCCGCAACACATAAACGTGAGTACACAAGAAAGAGAATTTTGCTAGTGCCGCTCCTGGCCAAATTAATAGCACAGAGGGTGCAGCCCGGGGACTTAAATTTTGCAATTACCGCGTGTTGCTCTCGATTGCTTGACAAAGCGAGTCGTAAACAGCACACGGCGCGACTTTGTTTTGCAAATAACAAGCACGCGCCTATGTATACATGCACCTTTGACTTTAATACCTGCTTTGTAAATGCCACTGATGGCGTGCGGCGACATCATACAGAAAGATCCATTTTGAAAACCACAGAGCGACAGGGATGGGGGCACAATGAGCACAAAGAAGTAAATAGGAATCGCTGGAGCTCTTCTTTCCTTGGTGTATGGTGTTGTGTTGACAAAGCAGAAG